GAGAGAGAGAGAGAAGGGTGGGGGGAGAGTGCAGTCAAATGCTGCTCCAAACTCCAAACTCAAAATCACCGTCATCGTTTAACATTACCTTACTTAATTAGACGTTGGTTTGAAGTTGTTGGGTTGTTGTTGTTGGGTTGTTGTTGTTTTATTTGTCTTACCCTATCTCCCACTTCTCAACACTTCAATCTAATCTCATCTGACCTGGGACTAGGCAGTGTCTCTTGCACTCTCGAGGCTTTTAAATCAGTCGCTTCGCCCACAGTGTCCTTTTACCGAAAAAGCTGATTTACAGCCGGCAAGAACCAAGCACTATCGACCTTTTTTCGGTTGTCCACAATTCATTAGTGCGACGGTATATTCTTGTCACGAAGGGAAGGTCTCATAAATTAGGCCGCACGAAAAGGACAAGCGCTCCCCTCTATAGGACTGCGCACCGTCTTCCTTGCTCTAACGGGCTTTTCTCGTGGCTAAAACCTGGCATCTACAATGCTGAATAGCCGATTGCTGAGAGAATGCGAATTGTCGATTCGATGGTTGTCTTGGAAGTTCTGCACCAGTGTGTCTAGCAGCAACAACAGTGATTTCTGCAACAGCGAAACCATCAACGATGGCTGCCGCCGCAAATACACCCCCGAAAGTCACTTTGTTTATTTTAACCTTTTCTGTCCAATTGTATGATATGGTAGCGATTGGAAGAAGTAACTGTAGGATGTGCAAAGTGTGTTGCCTTTCGGATCGTCATAATAGTTATTGTGCCTGTCCATCCATCCGTCTTTTTCTTTGTCTTCCGTTTTCCTTTAAATCAACTAATCTCATATTGTAGGCCTTTGATGCTGGCTGTTGTGGCCAAATTCTCACTACGTGTTCAAACCATTAATTTTCATTTGTTGTCTCTTGGTGGATTTCATGCTCGATTCCATGCCCACTTAATTGTTATTTGATGTCTTCATTTCTTTACCTGTCTGTTTTTCGTGATGGTTAGGATCTTTTTGAGACATTTCATTTTCATTTCGCATGCGATAGCAAAAAGTGAAAGAAACCAGATAATACACAAGCAGCAGCAGCAGAACGACTGAACTTGAGGAGATGGTGGTGGTGGAGTTGCTATTGTTTATACTGCTGTCTTTGCAACCGAGACAGTTGCTTGATTTTGAATTTCCAAGAATTATACTGATTTTTCTGTTGGTTTCTATGAGGGTTTTTCTTTTGATATTTTTGCTTCGCTTTGTTTTGTTTTATTTGGTGTTTGTACAGTTACTGTTGTTTTTCTTGTTTTGTTTGTTTCTTTGTTTGTATGTTTGTTTAAGTTGGGTTTTTTTCGTTCGTGATCGGTGTGTATTAATTGATATTAATTGTTATTAGGCCAAAACACTGATAAGCCTGGCCTATATCATAGGCCCTACAGCAGAGAGAACTGTCCCTGCAGGCTGACAGATCGAAATCAATACCGGTATAGGCTGTTTTAGCACGGACTGCAGGTGCAGTCCCCCTGATAGTGTGGTCACGGTTCGACTTGTCCGGGTCGTGTCAGAGTAATTCTGCAATTTCATGCGGGACGCAGGTTGTTTCATTCTTCATTGAGAACGAGAGAGGCTCAGCGGTCAACGCCAATCAGTGACTGAGATACATTGAGCGATTTGGGGGGGGGGGGGGAACCTTCCATCAGGTGCTGTTTAAGACCAAGGGTATATTTTTTTCTCCCCAGAAATGTTTGAATATTGGACTTTTAACGCTTTTGTGTTTTATTGTTTAAAATTAAATCTCTTAAAACGATACATAGTTAACGGGTACATTGGCGTCGCGTGGGTTGCAGACAAGGTGGTGCATAATTGGAAAGTGAGCAAATGGGCAATAGTAACTACTATACTATTGAGATTTCTAGAGAAAGTCAATTTGAATCTGAATTCTGCTGGATATTCCGTAATCTACATCCATCGATATTTACAACTGTTTCCGGATGAAACTGCATAAAAGCTGCAATAAAGTGAAACAATACTAACAACTCACTATGCAAACAATCAGAGAAGATTTAAAGTTTCTAATTACTTCGTGCAGCACCAGGACTTGCTACACAACAGAGGGAGACCACAGTTTTTGATACCCATTCTTCATTGAGTTACCGTAGA